ATAACTTTTTGTTAATTGTATACCTTGTGTACTTTATTCTGAGATCGCCATGAAAATAGCCTTGATGCTGGCATGGCGTAAATAAATAAACATCACCACACCATAACATTTAAACTTTTCCAGATGCTACTGTTGAGTTTTTCCCAATGTATAATGTCGAGTCCCACCCTACGTTTGTTCTTCTCGCTGAATAGCATTTTTCTCTTGAAATACATCATGCTACAAAAGTAAATTAGGTTGCATATTCCATTTCATGTTGCTTTTAAATAGAGCCCGACCAATATATAGTTTTGCCGATTTTATCAGCCGATATGAGCCTGTCGCAGATATATCGATACCGATAAGACATTTTTTTTTACAGAACATAAAACGCACCTTACTTGCCAAACAAAAAGGATTGTGAAGCATATTTCATTAGATTGTACTGTTGTTAATGTAAATAGACAACAGAGGTGTGTTTAACTGATTTATTTAAAAATGTATCACCTGAATCTATTTTATAATTTTAGTCTAGTGTAGATTTAAAATGTCTTTTATAACTTTTTGTTAATTGTATACCTTGTGTACTTTATTCTGAGATCGCCATGAAAATAGCCTTGATGCTGGCATGGCGTAAATAAATAAACATCACCACACCATAACATTTAAACTTTTCCAGATGCTACTGTTGAGTTTTTCCCAATGTATAATGTCGAGTCCCACCCTACGTTTGTTCTTCTCGCTGAATAGCATTTTTCTCTTGAAATACATCATGCTACAAAAGTAAATTAGGTTGCATATTCCATTTCATGTTGCTTTTAAATAGAGCCCGACCAATATATAGTTTTGCCGATTTTATCAGCCGATATGAGCCTGTCGCAGATATATCGATACCGATAAGACATTTTTTTTTACAGAACATAAAACGCAGATTAAATGGTGTAATCACGTAGTTTGTCCAGCAGAGTGTGCTTCATTGTTTGCTACTGGAGACCTGGATGAAACGCTTTAAAGCTTAAGTGTATGGAATACCATTGAAACTTTGATTCAAATTATTTTTTGTGGTTATTGATGTTGTCCAAGCTTGACCAGCAGTTGATCCTGTAGGAGTGAGATTCATCTGTGCACATTTTCCAAAAATGTTATTAAAAAATAATATCTTACTGCACACTTACCTCTGAAAATGACTTTTGGTTTTATCTGACGTCACAACGCAAATCCTAGTGTAATAAAAATATTTTATACTAATTTTAAATCTAGGTATGACCAAGTTGTTTGTTCAAGGTGTCTTTTAGGTCATACAAAACTTACACGTGGATATTTATTAAAAGGTGAGCAACCACCATCATGCCTTACTTGCCAAACAAAAAGGATTGTGAAGCATATTTCATTAGATTGTACTGTTGTTAATGTAAATAGACAACAGAGGTGTGTTTAACTGATTTATTTAAAAATGTATCACCTGAATGTATTTTATATATTTAGTCTAGTGTAGATTTAAAATGTCTTTTATAACTTTTTGTTAATTGTATACCTTGTGTACTTTATTCTGAGATCGCCATGAAAATAGCCTTGATGCTGGCATGGCGTAAATAAATAAACATCACCACACCATAACATTTAAACTTTTCCAGATGCTACTGTTGAGTTTTTCCCAATGTATAATGTCGAGTCCCACCCTACGTTTGTTCTTCTCGCTGAATAGCATTTTTCTCTTGAAATACATCATGCTACAAAAGTAAATTAGGTTGCATATTCCATTTCATGTTGCTTTTAAATAGAGCCCGACCAATATATAGTTTTGCCGATTTTATCAGCCGATATGAGCCTGTCGCAGATATATCGATACCGATAAGACATTTTTTTTTACAGAACATAAAACGCAGATTAAATGGTGTAATCACGTAGTTTGTCCAGCAGAGTGTGCTTCATTGTTTGCTACTGGAGACCTGGATGAAACGCTTTAAAGCTTAAGTGTATGGAATACCATTGAAACTTTGAACGACCATATCTCTGTAATGGCGCGGCGGATCTGCACCAAATTCAGGGATCCCTTCAGCTCGAGGAACCCTCTCGAACACCGAATCGAGTGTACGTCTCGAGGCCCCCTTTCGAATGAGACCACCCCCGCGTCGATTACGAATGCCACCCGCCACGGTTACCGACGTGCAGCGGGTGGCATTCGAGAGGGCTCCTCGAGCTGAAGGGATTCCCCGAATTTGGTGGAGAATCCGCCACCACGTTCGCGAGATAGTGACACCAGCCAATACTTTCACTTCAGTAAGGAGATCTCTTGTTTAGGCAGCAGCATTCAAGCGTTGTCTTATTTGACCGTAAGTGCCCTGTGAAGTGGACTTCACATGATATTCCGCCATGATTCCAGTTCCAAGGGAACGTACACGTTAAATTTAAAGAGCATTAAAGTGCGCGAGACGTGAATTTAAATTTTATTTATTTACAGAGGTATATTATGTGACACTTCACACTTCTCTAGTAAGTTTCGTCTGTGTGTGAAGACAGTAGCACTAATCCGTGAATGAATGTTCCGAAGTGAAATAAACTTCAAAGGAATAAAGTTGAATGGAATTTAATTGAAATAAAGTTGAATAAACTTCAACTTTACTGTTAAGTGCACTGATGTCACTCATTTTGGATAATAAAGTTTATTGTTAAATTGTTAAATGCCGTGCCTCCATTACATATCTTTGTCACATCATTATAAGTGTTTGATCACCACATTTGAGAGATCATTGCAAAAAATGTGTTTATGTATGTATATTCTGTTTATGTATATACTGTATTCTGTATATAGTACCAGTCAAACGTTTGGACACACGAATGGGAAAGTGTCCAAACTTTTAACTGGTACTGTACTATAATATACACAAAGAATATCGGCAGATATATCGATATCTGCCTTTTTTTACTCCCTAATATCGGTATCGGTATCAGCCCCCAAAAACCCATAACGGTCGGGCTCTACTTTTAAAACCTTTTGTCATTAAATTTTTGAGTACTCATAATTTAGATCTCTTATTTTGCTGCTTTAACCATATAGCTGACAGTCAGAAGATCCAGTCACACTCTTGACTTTGATGCTCTGTGTACATAATGCTGGACTCCGCCGGACCTCGGCATCTCTGTGGATCTTTTAACACCTTCCCTTGTTAGCGATTCTGCTGCAGTCTGGATTCTGTATGCTGTGCTTCTGCTGCACTTCTGGTCTCTGGTTTTGCCTTTAGTTACGTCTGCATCTCATGTCAACCTGACAGCTGTAAACAAATCCAGTGCTGGAGTAATGTGCATTTTCAGCAGACAGTTTTTGATCTCATTTGCTCTTCTTTTATCTCAAAATGCTTATTTTCTTGTGTTCTCCATGTAATGTTATCAGTTGTCATATTACATTCCATAAGTATGCATTCATGAATATCCCAGCCTGTCCCTCCATTAAAAGAATAGTTCAACCAAAAAGGAAAATTCTGCGACTGAATCATGTGAATCGTTTGGGAAGACTTGAACTATTCCTTTAACACCCTCTTTTCTGTCATTCTGTTCCAGGTTGATGTTTCTTTGTGTTATTGGTTGCCTTTTTTATTGTTTATTTCTTTTTTTATGTGACCTCTTTGTTTTGCAGATGAGGGCAGAAGTGCAGTTGACGCAGCGGGCGGTGCTCAGATAGTTGCCGAGCACATTAAGTCTCTGGCCGTTAGGAAACGTGACTCATTCTCCATCAGTGAGATCTGCAGGTCCCCGGTTGACATTTCCTTGACGTGATTTGGGCTTCGATTACTGGCAGGAGTTCCTCAATGATTTCTGGCTAATGTCCAGTTCTGCCAAGGCTGGTTACGTTGTGTTTTCTCATGTGATACATTTAGCCAATAACTGTTGCTCAAATGTTCCTCTTGCTCTGACCAGCAAAGCTTCTGTGGTCGATAAAGCAAATAACAAGCAATTATGAAGTAGGGAGGAAGCATTTTGGACTGTCAACTGTTTATTAAACGTGATGAAGGGACTTCTGTTGCATAAATGTTTTAAAGGTTATGTGCTACAATTCTTTGTACCAAACTCTGCTTCCATGGTCTATCATACTCAATAACATTTTCTCCTTTTTTAATTGTGGATGTTTTCCTCTGCCTGGGCCGTCTTCTTTAACACAGCTCTCAGCTGCCGTCTCCTCTTTGCTTCGTTGAATTTACTGATCAACATCTGCTTCCTGACAAATTGATGGCACTAGATGTGTGCCGGTGCCACCCACATCTTTGTGTCTCATCGAGACATTTCTAGACAAACTGAAACATCTTTTCACTGGGTATTTAAGGGCTTACTTGTGCAGCTGTGCAAAATATGACTGTTAGTAAACATAAACAAGACATAAAATGATACATTTAGTGAGCTTTAAGATTAAATAAGTTGTGGTTGACTAGTATTGATTTTTATTTATGGCTTATAGCGATATCTTAGCGAGCAGAGTGGCCGATGGGCGATATAAAGCCAATATTAAAATAAGTAATTGTCAACCGATATTTATTTTTTATGGCCAATACCGATATCTTAGAGAGCAGGGTGACCAATGGACGATATAAAGACAATATTAAAATAAGAAGTTGTCAACCAATATGTATTTATTTATTTTTAAAGCTGATACTGATATCTTGGAGAGCGAGGTGACCATTGAGTGATATAAAGCCGATATTAAAATAAGTAGTTGTCAACCGATATTGATTTTTTTTATTCTTGATACCAATATCTTAAGAGAGCAGGGTGACCAATGAGAGAAATAAAGCCGATATTAAAATAAGTAGTTGTCAACCCATATTTTTTTTTATGGTCGACACCAACATCTTAGAGAGCAGGGTGACCAATGATATGAATATGAATTCGATTAGATTTTTTTAATGGCCGATACCAATATTTTAGAGAACAGGATGACCAATGAGCATAATAAGTCGATATTAAAATAAGTAGTTGTCAGACGGTATGTGTTTATTTAGTTTTTATATAGCTGATACCGATATCTTGGAGAGCAGGGTGACCAATGAGTGTAATAAGTCGATATTAAAATAAGTAGTTGTCAACCGATATTTATTTATTTATTATGGTTGATACCGATATCTCGGAGAGCAGGGTGTCCAATGAGTGATCTAAAGGCGATATTAAAATAAGTAGTTGACTGCCGATATAGCTTTTTAAAAATGTATTGCCGATACAATATCTTAGAGAGCAGGGTGACCAATGGCCCATATAAAGCCAATATTAAAATAAGTAATTGTCAACCGATATTTATTTTTTATGGCCAATACCGATATCTTAGAGAGCAGGGTGACCAATGGACGATATAAAGACAATATTAAAATAAGAAGTTGTCAACCAATATGTATTTATTTATTTTTAAAGCTGATACTGATATCTTGGAGAGCGAGGTGACCATTGAGTGATATAAAGCCGATATTAAAATAAGTAGTTGTCAACCGATATTGATTTTTTTTATTCTTGATACCAATATCTTAAGAGAGCAGGGTGACCAATGAGAGAAATAAAGCCGATATTAAAATAAGTAGTTGTCAACCCATATTTTTTTTTATGGTCGACACCAACATCTTAGAGAGCAGGGTGACCAATGAGTGATATGAATTCGATTAGATTTTTTTAATGGCCGATACCAATATTTTAGAGAACAGGGTGACCAATGAGCATAATAAGTCGATATTAAAATAAGTAGTTGTCAACCGATATTTATTTATTTATTATGGTTGATACCGATATCTCGGAGTGCAGGGTGGCCAATGAGTGATCTAAAGGCGATATTAAAATAAGTAGTTGACTGCCGATATAGATTTTTAAAAATGTATTGCCGATACAATATCTTAGAGAGCAGGGTGACCAATGGCCCATATAAAGCCAATATTAAAATAAGTAGTTGTCAAACGATATAGATTTTTTTTTTAATGGCTGATACTGATATCTTGGAGAGCAGGGTGACCAATGGCCTATATAAAGCTGATGATAAAATAAGTAGTTGTCAACCAGTATAAGTAGTTGACTGCCGATATAGATTTTTAAAAATGTATTGCCGATACAATATCTTAGAGAGCAGGGTGACCAATGGCCCATATAAAGCCAATATTAAAATAAGTAGTTGTCAAACGATATAGTTTTTTTTTTAATGGCTGATACTGATATCTTGGAGAGCAGGGTGACCAATGGCCTATATAAAGCTGATGATAAAATAAGTAGTTGTCAACCAGTATTTTTTTAATGGCCTATGCCGATATCTTGGAGAACAGGGTGGCCAGTGAGCGATATAAAGCCAATGTTAAAAATAACTAGATGTCAACCGATATTGTTTTTTTTTTTTTACTCTGTAATCTGGTAAGTTTGTGCACACTGGGAATTATATTTTCTCAAATGAAGTCCAGGTAAGACTGATTTTACATGCAGTACACAGTGACATGACATAGTGGCAAATTGTATATTGTGCAGCATACAGTTGCGCTCAGATGCTGTCATTTTTAATGCTGTCAAAAAGCTGCTTTTAACACTTATTGCCCAAACTGAACATTTCTAAGCCGATGCCAGTAATTTAAAAATGCCAAATATCAGTTGATAAATCGGTAATGTATTAGTCAACCACTAAAAATAAGTCAAAATATCAGCCAAATAGAAAAACTTACAGGCTGATGCTAATAATTTAAAAAGACCAAATATATGAGCCCTGGTAATGTATGTGTTGACCACTAAAAAGTCTGCCAAAATTACCAAAAAGATATTCTCTATAAAATATATTAAAATTTAATGCAAGAGTAATTCTCAGGTAGATTTCTGTTCTAAAGACATTTGGATATTTCTACTGGAAAACAAGTGTGGTTGAACCAAGTATTTTCAGTGGTGAAGGACCCGTGTATGTACATGAAATGTGATGGCTAAGCAGTCCTTTGTTCCACTGTGGTCTTGATTTATCTTTCACATTTTTAGGTCAAGACTATATTTTCTGTACTAGCAATTTTCTGTACTCAGCAAAGCACTTTACAAAAATGAAATCTCAGAGCAGTAAATAATGTGGCTGCATTTTATGTACAGTCTGTAATACTTTGAGCTGGTTCATGAACTCTTTCAGCCTCTAGCCTGTTCAAACATTGCAGGATATTAATTTTTGATTACTTTGAACATAATTTAGTTTTAGAAGATTTGCTGAATAAATGAAATCATGTACATAAAAAAAGAAACTTTGAGTCATAATTAAAAATAAAATAGTAAAAGTAATATATTTTGGAAAACATAAATGTACACATTAAGCTCTGAGTGGATCAGTGAATTACACTAAAATAAAATTTTTGCATTTTACACTTTTAGTTCATTAAATATTTAGAATTCAATTTTTTTGAAAATTTAATTTGAATTAATTTCTTTATTTAATTTTATGGGCTTTTGTCATTTTTATTAGTTTGTTTTTTATTTATATATAGCTTTAATTCATTTTAGTTTTAGTCATTTTAATACTTAAAATATTTATTTCTATTAATTCCTTTTTATTTCTATTAATTCCTAATTTCTGTTAATTTCTCATTTTTGTTCAAGTGTTTTCATTTTGTTGTTGTTTTTTTCTTCAATATTTGTATTTCTTAATATTTTATAAGCTTTATTTCAGTTACAAAAATTATGTTTAATAGTTTTAGTTTCACTTGTAGTTATCGATAACAACACTGATACAAACTTATTTTTGATGACAGTGGTGGAGGATAGCAAGCTACCACAGTTTTATTCATGGTGAAAATCAGATTATTGTGTGTGGCATTGGATATAAATATTTTTAATAAAAAAAAATTGTGTTTGGATAAACTCAATTTATTGCAATGTAATTGCCAGAAGAATGATGAATACATAATACTTAACCATTAATGTAAATGACTAATATATTTTCTGTGTTGTCAGAAAAAGATCTGCATGAACCCGAGTAAAGAGAATCTGCTGTTTTGTCTTTCCTCTCTAGACTCGCTGCAGGCTCAGCTGATCAGCATGGGTGTGATCCCCACACTGGTCAGACTGCTGGGAGTTCATTCTCAAAACACCGCGCTCACCGAGATGTGCCTCATTGCCTTTGGCAACCTGGCAGAGCTTGGTGAGTTACCGATTCGATTCAGTCACACTGCCTACTACATATCCAGATTTCCATATATTAAAATACATCAGAACATGTTGGATAAAGCTTGCACGTCTCTTTTGCCTGATCCTCAAACAGAGTCCAGTAAGGAGCAGTTTGCCTCTACTAATATTGCCGAGGAGCTGGTTCGACTCTTCCGTAAGCAGGTGGAGCATGAGAAGAAGGAGATGATCTTCGAGGTGTTGGCACCACTCGCTGAGAATGGTGAGAATCGCAGTGATCAACATTATATAATGATTGAACAGGCATGAACCAGTCAGTATAGTGTCTTTTGGGAAAACACTTACAATAAGTACATTACTTTGTGTTTAGCATGGTAGCAGGTTAAGTCATGTTTTTTTTGTTGTCAATGGTGTTATTTGTTCTATGAAAGAAAGTGTTTCTGTTTGCGTATTTTTTGATACCCTGGGGAAAATAAATAAATAAATATATATATATATATATATATGAAGAGTTCATTTGCAAAAACTGATAACTCCATTTCTATTTTTTTTTTCAGAAATCATGTTTTTTTATTGCGCATTCCAAGTAATATCAATCAAACTGCAGTTGGGTTGTTTTGTTTAAGTAATAATAACGTAAACAAATACAGGTAATTTACAAAATTAAAGTTCATTGAAAGTATGTTTTTTTTTACATATTAAAAGTTTGTTTTATAGCAAAAGCAGATAACTCCAACAGTCGTTTTTTGGCAAAAGCAGATAACTCCTCATTTCATGTTTTAGAGATAAAAAAAAACACTGGTTTAATCTTTGAAATCTCCTCAGATGACAATGTAGATGCCTGACAAATGTTGTTATTGTTGTGATCATAAACTGTATGGATGTGATTACACGCAATACACAGAGTTTTTCCCTCCCCGTTGTAACGTGCTGCTTTTGCAAGCTTCCGTGAAAACGTTTCAGCTTTTATTTGACCTGAATACAGCGCGCTGATTCGCTAAAATGGAAAACAACAAGGGCGCTTGTCAGCTTCTGCAGTAAAACGTGAACTCACGATGCCTTGAAAGTGGACAAAACCAGCTTTTTTGACAAAACGTGTTTTGGGTTCAGATCGTGCTATATGTGGAGAATAATGCACGCCAATCAGCTCTTTTTTATGGACTTCTGAGAGACACTGCCACTCTGAGAGGCTCTTTTTATACCCAATCATGTTGTCAATTGACCTAATAAGTTGCAAATTGGTCTTCCAGCTGTTCCTTATATGTACATTTAATTTTTCCGGCCTCTTATTGCTACCTGTCCCACCTTTTTTGGAATGTGTAGCTCTCATGAAATCCAAAATGAGCCAATATTTGGCATGACATTTCAAAATGTCTCACTTTCAACATTTGATATGTTATCTATATTCTATTGTGAATAAAATATAAGTTTATGAGATTTGTAAATTATTCCATTCCTTTTTTACTCACAATTTGTACAGTGTTCCAACTTTTTTGGAATTGGGTTTGTATATAGATTGTCTTATTTTGACTTATAGTCTTACTTTGTTTTAATTTAACTTTTTTAAATACATTGCAATTAATCAATCAATCAATCAATCAATAAACCTTTCTAATGAGTGTTTTTGTCTAGATTTTGAGTACAAAATCAAAACATTGTTCTCACACCATTGACAAATGTTTTTTTTTCCGTGATATTTAAATAATGCAATTATAGCATGTAAGATGTACATAAAATAGCTAAAATAAAGCAATTTTTTAATAAAATGTAATAATAAAATAAATACAATACAATATATATATATATAATTTATTTTTATTTAATTAATTCACACTTTGAAAACTAAAAAAGATTATCCATAAACAAGGCTGTAGGCAGACTAATGTAATGCTGATATATAAATAATATAACATTGATGGCAAACATCAGACGGACACAAAATTGCTAAGATCTGACCATATACATTTAAAAAAAAAATATTTTTTATTGTTAGGCTTTGAAATTGATGAAAAAATAAATAAAACTATCGGCCAGTTGCCTATAAGCTCAAAATGATCAAAAACTGAACCTGTAAGTATTGTGGAGAACCTTATTATTGGAAAGATATATGAATATAGTATACATATAGTACCATAGCAGTAATCCATAAACAAGGCTGTAGGCAGACTAATGTAATGCTGATATATAAATAATATAACATTGATGGCAAACATCAGACGGACACAAAATTGCTAAGATCTGACCATATACATTTAAAAAAAATTTTTTTTATTGTTAGGCTTTGAAATTGATGAAAAAATAAATAAAACTATCGGCCAGTTGCCTATAAGCTCAAAATGATCAAAAACTGAACCTGTAAGTATTGTGGAGAACCTTATTATTGGAAAGATATATGAATATAGTATACATATAGTACCATAGCAGTAACCATCACTGTATCTTGGTTCGTGTTTGTAAGGAGTTTTTTTTTTATCTTTGCGTTTTAAATGATCACGAGTGTTTTGTTAATTCACAGTTGATGTATTTCTGTTCCGTTATTTCCATAATGCATCAGTTAGTCGTGCTGCTTTTGCTTTCAGCATGAGTTGTTGATCAGGCTTGAATATGGATATGGCTGGTGGAGCGCAGACCCACTGACCCACTGACTGAGTGACAGCGTTCAGCAGCTCAAACGCTTTTCCTCCCAGCTGTGAGCGTGTTGTGTTACTTATATAGAAAGTCAAACTCCGCCACCTGTTGTGGTTAGAAACAAGACACTTTATGAAATGAATGCATGCGTTTGCAGCTGTGTTTTGGCTCAGAAAGCTTGAGCATGAGCCAACAAGATTTCACGCTCAAAATATTATACTTAAAAAATCATCAGTTTACCAATTTTTTTTTGTTTTTATGTAAGCTGGAACATAAAAACCGGCCAAGCTATAGAGAGCGACATCTCTCACAATGCAAAACCTGGCTTATTTGATGGTGAAAATATCTCAAAATGAATTTTCCAAGACGCTGGCTATTGCCTGCGGTTGAGTCGCGGGAGAGAAAGCTACAATTATGCAGATGCGTGAGATTTCTCGGCTTCTTCTCTGTTTGGATAATAAGTGTTATCACTGCCATTGCCATCACCATCGTTTCCTCAAAATAGGACTCTGGGGTCTGCTTACAGCTGCGGTCTGGATTTGCTTATTTGAAGGCAAATCCTCCAGCCGCGGTCAGCTGCTCGATGTGTCTGCGAGCGCGTCTGAGGATTTGAAGCGGCGTTGAAATGTGCACCTGAAAGAAAGCTGTGTGTGAAAGAGAGCAAGTGTGTGTTTAGATGGTGAAACTTGAATGTTGAAGTGTGTATTGAAGGGAAACAGATAATAAGGTGTTATTTGTTCTGTGAATAAAGTGTTTGTTTTTGCCAACAAAACATCCTTAACATCTATCCTCTAGACAGACAGATAGATAGATAGATAGAGAGATGATAGATGATAGATAGATGATAGATAGACAGATAGATAAATAGATAGATAGATAGATAGATAGATGATAGATTGATAGATAGATAGATAGATAGATAGATGATAGAT